ATGAAAAGAGAAGGATAGAAGAAAAATGAACAAAAATAGAGAACTAGAAAGTAAATATAATTACCATTCTGAAGCATGCTCTACCATGGCTCCTAAATGCTGGCCTGACTTATTCTGTCCTTACTCCAGCTGCCTCTCTATTCATGTTTCATTTTACTTCTATTGCTTCTCTTTCTGCTGACAGTCATCTGGGCTGTCAGCACTACAGGGCAGTATTCAGGACAGAGTCTAACTCATCTGTCCAAACACAGAAAGAAATTTGATTCTTATTGCAGTGCCTATTGCAAGACATAGCTCGAGGCATTACACTGAATTAGGGCAGTTGCCTCCACCATTTGTTTGTTTGCTGCTTCTGCACTAGCTCAGCATTTGAAAGCAGCAGCTTCTCACTGGAGAAACCATCATCTTTGCAAATCCTTGGTAACAAAGAGGAAGGCAGACTTAATTGCTTGAATCTGAGTTATATGCATCCCTAGACATGAGAAACATTTTTATTATAATATTTAATCAGTAGAAATTTAAATTCACAATTCCTTTATTTTAGGTTAGTCTACTTTGACATGATTATATTAACAGATTGTTCTTCCATTGTTGGCAACCAGATCTAAGGAACTTCTCCTTTAACTAATGCCTACCCTTTAACAGTGTGAAGTAGTTAATACAATTTTTTATAAACTTACATTTACTTTGCCATAGTCTTAATTTTACTGATCTTTACATAAGCCTGCAAATCACCACTCTTTGATTTGGGCTAGAAAAAGCTACAGATATTTTTTTCTAGAGGAAGAATTCCCATAAAAATTTCTGTCTGCTGCTTTGTTTAAAGTGCCACACTCCTCCAGAAAACCATGAGATCATTGCTTTGAGGAGTAGGAATATGTTTTTCTAATGTTCCTCTACCAATGGAACTGGTAACATTCCAGCCAAGCTCCAGAGTTCCAGGCAATTTGAAATATTAAAGCTGATGTGGAGCTCTGTGCAGAGAATCGCCTCAGGAAAAAGTCTCACAGCAAATACTTTGAGCAGTCCTCCACCCAAATCCTCTTAGGCACTCTTTAAGTTAACATGTCAGATCTAGCAGCTCCAAAACCTGCAAGAGTTCTGTGAATTACTAAATTATTTGCAGTTTAGCCCATTGCTGCATTTTCTCTGCTCTTCCATTGCTATCTTACTCTCTTCTGAATCAGACAGTGAGAGCACCTCTGGGAGTCAGTGTTTATCATTCATCTCTCAACCTCACTCAAAATCAATTGTTCCAGGACCTGCAGACTCACTAGTGTTGGGATGCCACTCTGAACAGAATCTGAGTCATGCCTCACCACTCAAAAACTTTCAGGGAGAAGGGAGTGATGGAGTCTTTTGAGTGGTGTCCTTGGCCAGTGGGACTGCAATGGCTTTGTCTTTTCTCTCTAGGATTAATTGAGCCTGAAAAGTCTAGGGATGATGCAGGTTACTGTTTCCTTTTTCACAGACACAAAGCTGGGGAAAAGGCCTTTGCAGACCTGCTTTACACTGAAGATAATGCTTGCTTGAGATAGCCCATGGACACAAGTGCTGGAAATACATGCTGGTCTGGGGTGATGGCCAGACACTGACATAAAAGCCCTGAGGAAGACTTGGGCATATTGTTTTTCATGAGGTTTCCTTACATTGCTCTGTCCACCCATGTTGCAGAGTGCTTAGGCAGAAAATCTTCAGTCTAGATTTAGAGGGTAGCTTGAAAGCACAATGTGGGAAAGTGGTCCCAGGTACTGGTGAGTATCATTGACTCCGATGTCCACCACTAGGCTCTACTCCATAGAGACATGAGGCAGATATAGCCTGGACCTGGATTCTTGTGAAGAAAGTGATCTTTCTCAATGCTGGCATTCCACTTGTGTGGGCAGATGGTGAGCTTGCAGGGGCACCTCTCTGTCCTGCGTGGGTGGAGGGTATGGTCAAGACCTGCCTACTTCACCGTTTACCTTGCAACACTGCTAGATGATCAGACCTAGATAGGGCTGATTGTAAAAAAGCTCTGCCATGAAGTCCTGAGGTGTGCAAATAAGTGAACGTGGCAGAGGTACTAGAGCAGCTTTGCTGGCACTTTCAGAGGGCTTGTGAATAGCCCATGCTCCTCGGGGTAATGTGCAGCCTGCATGCAGCTGGGGTGGTGTGGGTATGCTCAAAGGGCTTCTTGTGTGCACACGAACTGGGTGCTGTGCCATATCTGTCCTCCAGAGCAATGCAACAGAGAGGCTGATTTGTGAATTATCTCAAATGGTTCGTGATTCTATCAAAACCCTTAAGACTGCCACACAAAACCTAAGCCCTTTTTCTCAATTTAAAAATAGACACATCTCTGAAAATAGCCGTTTTGAATAATCTAGATCTTGGAAGATCTTAGGCCAAGAGAACCACCAAGTCCTGTGATTTCTCAGTGTTGTTCTGACTAGAGATCAAAATATGTCAATAGGTAAATGAAGGACAGTTAACTTATTTATCTCCTGCCAGATATACACCACTCCCTACAGATTGGTTATCTAAGTGGCTTGCCCATAGTGCCAGAATTATGGATTATTTTATGGAATGACAGAATTGTCAGAGTTGGAAGGATCACCTAGTCCAACTCTCCCACTAAAGCAGGATCACCCAGAGCACATTACTCAGTGCAGCATCCAGATGGGTCTTGAATATCTCCAGAGAAGGGGACTCCACAACCTCTCTGGGCAGCCCCTCAACCAGTAATGTACCATTCTACAACCTTACAAAACTCTGCACCCCTAAGAAGTTCTTAGGTGATCATAGAAAAGCCACTTTCACATCTTTCCCTGTATCCATTCCGTCACTCTGTTGCCACCTACTGGGAGAACTGACAGCATCTCCTTGCAGGTACTTCGAAAATTAGCCTGAAGTCCAGTATTTCAGCATCTGCATAGAACTCTGCTATATTGATAAAAGACTGGCTTCCAGGTATATCACTGAGAGAATTGTGCTATGTATTTTTAAAATTACTATTAGATAAAAATGAAGCACATCTTGGGATACAGTTTCAGAAGAGTTATTTCCTTTTTGGTAAGAACTGTCATATATAACATTTCTATGTATCTGTTAAAAATTGTGGAATTAGATCTGGACTTACAGAATTATCTTCCCCTAATATATCAATATTCCCATAATATATCGAGTTCAGAACTACAGTTACTAATATAAAAAACAATCATTACTTTTGCAGGTAAAAAGGCAAACTACTTCAGTGAAGTTACTTGACATGCCTGCTTTTCCTTATGACCTCTTAGCAATCCTAATACAAACTGAGCTACCAGAAAGGGGACAACGTTCCTCAACAGTTTGGGTGAAATATAATGCATTTCTGTACCCCAGCTGTTGTTGTATGTGCTGAATATATCTGTCAGTGAAAACATGGATTATTTTTTTTTTTTAATAAATCTATTCATGAAAGATGAATAATGAATCCGCTACTAAAATAACAGTGGTGTACATTTGGTCTGTCCTCCATCCTCTCCAGGATGTCTCCTCATCAGTGCCAAGGGAAACCTTCCAGATAACCATAAGCTCATAAGTGGGTCGGACACACACGGCGAGTTCAGCACAACAGGCTTATTGTGCTGCTCCAGGCATTGTTCAAGCACAGGGCTGACCAACAGGTACCCCCAAACAGACAGCATTTCCTTGACATGCTGTTATCTTTCTATTACTTTCCCTCCCTCCTAAAGAGACACACACATACATCACTTTTTCACCACTGTTCTGTTCTGCTTATTTTACACCTTTATTTGGCAATTTCAGCTTTAATTTGTATCCCCAGTAAGCCAACAGCCCCTTCACTTTCTGTTGTTGTCTTAAACTCAAGGGGAGGGGGTCCCCAAAACGCCCCTTTAACTATATGTAGCTGTAGCTTCTCCTGCCCTTACCTCATTAGTTTAGACAGAGGTTAGGGTTGGCCAGCCACTTTTCCTGTTCCTCTGTCTGCAACATCCAACAATATCTTTTGTTGTTCCACCAGTTTAACCTCAGCCCATGGCTGGCCACGTGCCTGCCTGCAAAATATATTGTTCTAAAATCTGGAAATATACAAAAATATCTGTTATGAAGACAAGCTATGAAGTAATAAGCTGGTGTTCTTAGACATCTCAGCTACAACTATCACACACATTTTTTGTCATGGTTTTGATTTATGGTGATCTCAGTATGTCTGATGAAGCTGGTAAAGCTTCTGTCCTGCATGCCACAAGCTCGTCATCTTAACACCCTGGACTGTCATAGATGTTGTTCATTTAGCAGTTGCAACAGAGCTCTCAGCATTCCTGTGCCTCTAGAACAATAGACCAATCCAGTTATGACTGTTACACAGTTGCTGCACAAGCGCAGCATGCTCTAAACTCTTGCTGAAGCTGAAAGTACCAAATTGTGTCCCTAATTATGGTAGCTGGCAAAAATCACACCTTCTAACCACCCTGCACTGTGTATTCTGTAGAAGCAAGGGCTTTGGGACAAGCTGTACATTTTTGGCACCAACAGAGTTCTCACTGCATCTTGCAGCTTTACAAACATTATGCTTCAAATTAGTATGAAATAAAGACTGAGCACTGTAGGTAACTCCTCCTTACATAGTGTAGTGTCCCTAGCAATTACTTGGGCCATTTTGAAGCAGGAGTTCCTCAAGTAACATTACAGCTACGTGACTGTATCTTTCTATGGAATAAATTACAGTATAAATGACAGACAACATTTCAGGATATATTAGCAAAAACAACATGAAACCTGTCACATTCTGAGGCAAATTGACTAATGATTAGTCAATGTATGATTCATGTACGATTAATTTAATATCCTGTGATCACATAGTGGAGAGAATTCATCCTGTCTATAATCTACTAAGATGGAAATTGACTAGGTGTCAATTCTGCCAAGCAGAAATGCAGGCACATGAAAAAAAGACACACAAAGACATTCTTATGTCCGGGAAATGGGAGAGTGAATTTTAAGATTCCATCATTTTAAGATTCTCCTTGATTTTCTTCTTCAAATGAGTCATATTTCACTTCTTCATAGTCTTTCTCCAGGGCAGCCAGGTCCTCTCGGGCCTCTGAGAACTCTCCCTCCTCCATGCCTTCACCCACATACCAGTGCACAAAAGCTCTCTTGGCATACATCAGATCAAACTTGTGGTCGAGCCTTGCCCAAGCCTCTGCAATGGCCGTGGTGTTGCTCAGCATGCAGACTGCTCGCTGAACTCTGGCCAGGTCTCCACCAGGAACTACTGTGGGAGGCTGGTAGTTGATCCCAACCTGGAAACAAGAAGACGAGAGAAGACTGTCACGAGGCAAGAGCAGAAAGCAGTCCAAGAGCTGAAAAAGCGTGAGTGAAGTGAGAGATGCTGGGGTACAGTAGTGCCCACTATCAAAACTAGGATATGGCAAATGCCATGAAAAATACTGATGTCAGAAACAGTGTGACACTTGGTGATTTAATGTCTGTGTCATTCTTCTGTTTATATGCACCCTGGCAACTGTGTATCTTTCTTAGCAGCTTCTCAGCACTGAACATTCAGTTTCACCAAGATACTCTAGAGAAACTAATACAGAAAGTTGGTTCTCAGTTTGAAGTTTTCATTGTTAAACCAAACATTGATATGACAAATCATTTTCCCCTGCTAATTTCTGTATTATTGCTGAAACTTTGTTTCCCAACACTGCTATGGAGCCAGTGGGGAGAGGCTGCATAATATTTCTGGGTAAGGGTGTTGACTGACAGATGCCCCCATATCAGCATTTCTTTTTTAAATTGTATTGGGTTTTGTATTTCCTTAGATACAGATGGTGCTTCAGAAGGAACACTCACTGGCTTTTGCAAAATTCATGTCTGAACTGAATACACTTCACATTCCCACTTAGATAAATATTTAGGAGTCTATACCAATGGGATGCCTAAAATGAGAATGGGCACATTTATACATATGCACCTTAAGTTCCTTCACCTCAAAGATGGGGAACGTGCAAGATCTAAAACTTTACATTTTCCACTAGGCTGAACTTGCCCTTGAAACCTTAAAGAAAAGCTCAAAGAGCAGCCCTGCTCACCTTGAAGCCTGTTGGGCACCAGTCGACAAACTGGATAGTTCTCTTGGTCTTGATGGCAGCAATTGCTACATTGACGTCCTTGGGAACAACGTCCCCACGGTAGAGCATGCAGCAAGCCATGTACTTCCCGTGCCTTGGGTCACACTTCACCATCTGGTTGCTGGGCTCAAAGCAGGCGTTGGTGATTTCAGCCACCGAGAGCTGCTCATGATGTGCTCTGTCAGAGGAGATGATGGGGGCATAGGTCACTAAGGGGAAGTGGATGCGTGGGTAGGGCACTAGATTTGTCTGGAACTCTGTCAGATCCACATTGAGGGCCCCGTCAAAGCGCAGCGAGGCGGTGATGGAGGAGACGATCTGGCTGATGAGGCGGTTGAGGTTGGTGTAGGTGGGGCGCTCGATGTCCAGGTTTCGGCGGCAGATGTCGTAGATGGCCTCGTTATCCACCATGAAGGCACAGTCCGAGTGCTCCAGGGTGGTGTGTGTGGTGAGGATGGAATTGTAGGGCTCCACCACAGCAGTGGAGACCTGAGGGGCTGGGTAGATGGCAAACTCCAGTTTGGACTTCTTTCCGTATTCAATAGAGAGGTGTTCCATCAGTAAGGAGGTAAAGCCAGAGCCAGTGCCCCCACCAAAGCTGTGGAAGATCAGGAATCCTTGCAGCCCGGAGCAGTCATCAGTCTAGAAATCCAACAAGAAAAATGAAAGACTAAGTGAATGTATCCGTAAATCACATCCTTGTATAGAGATAGCAACACCCACTCTGTGCACAGCATAAATATCAGCAGTTTTCCCAGAAACACTATCCGTTTTCCCCTGTAAAACGCAACCTCAAGTACCAATAGAGTAATAGACTTCTTTTTTTTACAATAATAACAACAATAATAATAATGCTACAGCAATATTTCAGGTTTTCCATTTAAGTCTTCCATTCTTATGAAAACTAAGATGGAACATTCAGGAGCTGCATTTGTCTGTTTTGAGCCAGTGACCATATTTAAAAAGCTAAATAAGAGCCACCATAAAAAAAAATAAATTACATGGTGCTTATTAGCCCTCCCACCATTCTGAGGTCTTGTTTCCAAGGTAATAGTACATACCAGCTTACGGATACGATCTAATGCCATGTCAATTTTTTCTTTGCCAACAGAGTAGTGGCCACGTGCATAATTATTTGCTGCATCTTCCTTTCCAGTGATCAGCTGTTCTGGATGGAAAAGCTCCCGGTAGATACCAGTCTGCACTTCACCTGAAGGGAAGAGAGTATGCATAAGCTTGGAAGAGCTCATTCATCAGGGTTGATAAGGTGTGCAAAATAAATTGAGTATCATCTGTTGGTAGAAAATGGTATGGAAGATCTGTATGTTGAAAAACAAAGTACAGAGCTGAGGAGATGTTCTCAGATATTCTCAGTTTTGAAAGAAAAAAAAGGATGTGGACTCTGCTCCAAGTGCAGGTTGCTGTGTTATACAAATGCTTCATTTATCAAATGAAGGCTGTGCCATGCTGTACAAAAATTTCAGCTCTATATACTGATCAGGTGAAAATCCATCAGAATCTTTGGGGGAAGGACTGCATGAGTAAAACAGTGGTTTCCTCTGAAAATCTGTCTGGACGCTTCTGTTGTCTGATTCTTCCAAGCTTCTCTCATACATCTGAATGTCAGGCAAGCATTTTTCATGAGTTAGACAACAAAAAGTATCACCACAAAAAAAAAGACCAGAAAGGAACTTCTTTAAGAAAGATAAATTGTACTCATAACCAGTGGAGGTTTAAACAATAGTAAACTGTTGATTTTATTAATTAGGAGCAGAGCATGCATGACACAGTGCAGTCCAGCTTTTGTATTTTCATTGAGAGTAATAGAGCTTCTAGTAATACCTGGTATTAAAAACTTAAAATCTATACGTTTTGCCTGCATGCTGAGATCATCCCTAACAGTAAGGGCACTGTCCTGCTATTCAGTGATCTGAATGTTAATACTCAGAAGAATTAATTCCTTTCTATTTTCCAGTATTACTTCTGTACTGACCTATGACAGTTTGGTCGAAGTCCACCAAAATAGCCCGGGGTACATATCTTTCAGAGCTTCTCTCTCCAAAGAATGTGGCAAAAGAGTCATCATCGCTAGGTGGGTCGATGAAGGTGCCATCTGGCTGAATGCCATGCTCCAGACAGAAGAGTTCCCAACATGCATTGCCAATCTGAACTCCAGCCTGGCCAACGTGAATCAAGATGCACTCGCGCTGCAGGAGGATAAGGAAAACGGTGAGAAAAACCAGTGAATATCCTAAGAGTCTATAAGCTGATCTTACCTCAAACCTGAAATCAATCAACCATTACAAGATATTCCTCAAGTCTGAAATGAATGGAAAATAATTCTGGCACTTGTTTTCAACTAGGAAGAAAAGTATTTTGCTGTGTGTAGAAAGAAACAATAATCACAACAGCTAGAGATCTGCATCTGTGCCTACTCATAATGTACAGTAAACAGGATCTATTTGTAAGTGCACATATGTCCATACAGATAGAAAAACTGTGTATATAGGCACACAAAATAAACAACAGTAGGTCCCAGCTAAGGAATATGAGCCAAGTGCAGTTATTCAGGACACGACACAGCTATGCAGCCTTATTGTTATATAGATAAAGCAAAAGGAATGAAGTAGCTTCTGATCCCCCCTTTCTGTTGAACAAGTGTGTTGGACAGGTGGAAAACAGGTTTGTAGAATTGAAAGGAGCTAGACTATAAGTGCCTTTAGCACCTTAACTAATTTCAACCACTGACAGTTTCAGCCCATTCTCTGGGTACTTCTAATTCAATGTAACATGTGAAGAGTTAGCTTGATACTCAAGAGGACTTGGCACTCTTGACATATTAAAGTAATCTCCTGAGAAATCCTTCTCATACATACACTTCTTGTAACCATGGCTGTTCAATCAATAACCAGTTTCTGAAGTGTTACTGAGTCATACATGTAGTTGAGTAATAGAACTCTGAAACATAAAATGCTGTATCATATTCTAAAAGAAAAAGAAGCATCTCCTTCTGTAGATTGCTATGCAGATTCCCAAATACTGTGAATTTAAAGGTATGTCTCAAAAATATTCTTGGTAGATTTGAGTAAGAATTTTTCTTCTAGGGACAAGTCCACATTTCTTTGCTCCTCATTTTAATACTCACAAGCAAGTAGGAAAAGACCATTAAAATGGGGTTAAATATACTGTATTCTGAGTACATCCAGAGTAGCTTCTACCCAAAAAGGAAAAATAAGTTCCAACCCCATTCTTTTCTGTATATGACGTCTCTTATAATAAATTTATTAACACAAATGTGGCTGTACATACTGGATTCTGAATCTGCTTATGAAGAAGCTAGTACAATCATTTGTACACTGTGAGAAACATTTGTTGCTCCCAAAATGAAGCAAAAAAGGTCACTACAACCTTTCCAACTTTACTCAAATCTTGACCAGAGTAGCAGGAAACAGAAGGCCAAACTCATTGCTCAGCATCTCATTAAATGACCTGATTCTTTTCTTACCATGTTTTTCTCTGTGCACTTCTTTCTTGATTGGTAGCAGCAGCTTTGGTTACTGATTGTTGTGCTGTTGTTATACAAGCAGCCTGGTACAAGGTGGCAGAACCTGGCAGTGGCTCCACAGCATCATAGTCAAGGCAGGAGAGGTCATAGTCTCTGCCAGGCAACCGTCCCATTCCACCCACTCACCTGTTATATCAGGAACTTGCTGTCACAGGACTCAGTCCTGGAGTCTGTTCTTAAGCAAGTCTTCCCAATTAATTCTCCAACTTAAACCTTGTGGTTTTGTTTGTTTACAAAAAACAAAAAAAATTACAACTGGTATTAGTAACCAGAATGTTAACACATGTGGAGCATCTTCACAAATAACTGGTTTCCTTCCTTAAACTCTTTAACAACTGGTGAATATGCTACTGGTAACTCATTTAAAATATTATCAACCATTTCAGAATCTTTCTCTATGCTTTCAAATGATGGCATCATTTCAAAGGGGCATCTTTCTGACAAAGGTGGCTGTAGATGAATGGTAGAGAGAGAATCAATTTGCATAACTTCCACTGACTGAAATGAGTTGGAGAACAGGTTGAACCGCACAGATTTCCACTTGACTATTTGGTCATCTGTATACAAGGTGTGTGGGATTATCTTGTCTCCTGGTGCTAAGGCACCAAACCTCATCTTTCTGCCAGCCAATCCTTATCTTTGAGATCTCTGTTCATATTATAGACAAGTGTTCTTCAGCCCTTCACTCTGGGCCAATACAAGTTAGTTTGTTTTTTTTCTGGTAAGAAGATGGGAAAAAAAAGCAGAACCATAGTTTTATATCTGGAATTACTAGCAGAAAGTTTACATACACATGGCACACACAGACATTCTCTCTGTCAAGGCTTAAACAGTAGGATCGCCATGGCTATGTCTTTTTTCTCCAAGATATAATGGAAGCATAGAGAAAAACACAGCTCAAGATAAATACCAGGTGAATACTTTATTCTTGGTAATACTAATTTTGGCCATCCCAAGACACAAAGAGACACCATATTAAAAAATACCTGGATCTCTGAGCTCCTACAAAAATGCAATCTTATACCCTGTCAATGTCATAAGATTCACACTGAACTCTACTTAATTCAAATATACCTGTACAATGAGGACATGTAGTGAAACATTTCCAGAAAAATCCTTGAAAACTGTAGAGTATCACTACATTAAATGCAAAAGTTTTCTTATACTTAATCACCACACAAATAAACAACGCTTCAAAGAGATAAATCAGTAGTCACTTTATTGTGAAAATTAAATACTGCAGTTTTAGTATTAATTGCAAAAAAATCCTGATGAACTTTTCTGCCTTCTTGAATTAAATACAACACATGCAAAGTCAGTAGTACTCCAAAAAAGTGAAGGTTACCAACCTACACTTAAAATCAAGTTGAAGTCCTGATAAATGACTGGGTATGACATTTAACAGCATTCTAAACATAATGTATAGCCTGCTCAGACCCCTTGATCCCAACTCCCAAAATGCAGCTCTGCCATAACTAGAAGTGTTAATACAAAACTAGAGCAAAAATTGCTTATTACCTAAAACAGTCAATTCAGTAAGAATTTGGCCTGACTTCGGACTGAAGTTTCCTATTTCATTAACTGGCTTACAAAGTACTTAAGTGGATGCCTTGCAAAGCAGGGGACCAGTAGATACAACCTAGTCATTTCTAGAAAGTGCACAACTTCAGACAGAAACCCTGTGTTTGATTCTGCCTGGTTTCCCATTAACTGTTGGTTGCAAAATTTTAACTACATGTACAGTTGGATTACAAGAACCATCTAGCAATGTCAAGAGCAGCTCTTCCCTATGTGCACAGAATATATACAAAATAACTTATTATTAAGGTGAAGGATTATGTGCTCCTTTTCCTGGTGCAAAGTCCTAGCAGAGACAAAAACTTCTGGGGAGGGATATGGGGTTACTTTGGGTTTTACTCTGAGATAACCAAGTAAGGTCATTACTGCATTCATGACTGACCTGCCGCAGTTTAACTGACATTAATATTGGAGTTTTCTCTAGTGGGATAATCAAAGAACATAGAACTGTTTTCAAAGTGGCTGGTAGACAACAAAGCAACTGATCACACAAGAGTTTAAAGGCACCAACAGCCTACTATGCCTGTGAAGAGGACAAAAATAGCCAATACCTCAGGGTATGGTGACTGCTAGAGACAAAGCAGCAAGCTGAATTAAACTACTGTTGTACTGGGATCTGTATTAGATATTTGTCACAAGTTTGATGTGTTGGGATAGAATTTGCCCACCCAAAAGGCTGCTTTGCTCAACATTTTGTAGTTTGGGCTGACCTTAGCCAGCCTGCAACCTTTTGGCACAGATACCAGCATAGCAGGCAACTCATTTGCCTTGTCCTTACCTTTAATTTGTCTCTCCAGCAAACAATACGTTGCTCCAGCGGAAGCACTAATTAAGTAGCACTAATTAAGTGCTCTCTCCTTTGGAATTTACTCTTTGTCAAGTGATCATAGATAGATGGATGGCGAAGAAATTCATGTTCTACCCCAAACCTCCAAATTCTGCCCCAAGTGGTTAGAAATAAGGTCAGTCTGGTAACACATCTTCTGCAAAGACAGTAATGTTCTTGCCACAGATTTGGGCAAGGTTTTGGGATCTCAGGAAAATAATTTCTTTTTACTTAATTGATTAACTTTTATTCTGAATTATAAAGCACTGCTAACTGGCTCCTACATAAATCAGGATTTAAATACTGGGGTTGCAGGGGGAGTCAGATTATACACATATAGTGACTTTTTAACACCTACATAAACAAAGTAAGAGG